AGTCAAAACAAACGTAAGGAATGTGAGGGCATTCGAGATAACACGGACAAAAAAGGAATTTGGTTTTTTTCGATTTCGAAACAAAAGAAAAAGCAGTCAATGATTTTCTTATGAGAAATTTTCTATGAAAATAATCATATATTTTTTATTTACAGCCGTCGGCTTCCATCACTGGTGTATGTAGAATTATCGCCAGGTACGTAAGTATTTTTTATCAATTATATATATATATATATATATATATATATATATATATATATATATATATATATATATATATATATATATATATATATATATATATATATATAATATTAGAAATTTATAGATATATAACATTTTATACTTTTTTTAACAGATCTGACTGCGACATTGTGTGCGAGGTACACTAACCCAATTGAATCATGAATATTGATCTGGTGTCTATGCCAATACCCTGCATCGATCTTGTCACCCCAGGACACATCACCACGCCACAAGATGAAAAGGTATTGAAGAACAAAGCTCCGCCACCGGCAACTATCAAGCGGCGGCAATGGAATGAATCGACCACCTGTGCCGATAGTCATTCGAGGTACCGTAATAAAGCGGGAAGAACTTTTAAAAGATATTTATTTCATAAATAATTATTTCATTTTATGAAATTAATTTCAATGTTTTTTTCCAGCAGGTATAGTGGCTCTTCTATAACACCAGCGATTTCAGCCATCAAAAAAGGAGTAGGGGCAGAATATTGCCAATACTTACTTCTAAAAAAGGAAAACTTATGCGAGCTGAATAAGACAACGGTTATGCTGATTGCTGAAGAAGGAGAAAATTATATATAATTGAATTTTTAATTATATACTTTAGTAATTTTAATTAATAGTTTTATACTTGTATAATAAGATGTATTTTTATATATAAAATTTTACTTAAGATTAAACAATGTATATGCTAACTATTGACAACACGCCACCGCTTCTCTACTTCATTAATTAATAATCCGTACATACATGCATACATGCATGCATGCATACATATGTATATATATGTATATATATTGTTATAACCACTACTAATTAATGAAATAAGATACAACGATATGTAAAAGAAACTAAAACTTGTATTAGAATCGTTGAAAATAGCGTGTGTATATAATATCAGCTCATGAACACACTAACTAACTAATAATAATACAGATTACTTAGCAACCAAACAATCACTTAGTAACCAACAAATTAGAACGTATCGAATATATTACATTGCTCCTCCTTCATTCAAATTGTCGCCCCGACAATCTAAATAAAACAAAATACTCAGAAATCTTGACTCTTGAACCTTGAACCTTGAATCGTAAACCTTGAACCAAGATGTCAACTTTGTCAAGCGAGTTTATTCTTCCGTTAAAGAACAGAAACCCGTGTCTTGAAAAGCTTCAATCTTAAACCTTGAATCTTCAATCTTAAACCTTGAATCTTCAATCTTAAACCTTGAGTCTGTTGTGTAATGCTGTAGTGTATAACGTGTTGGATTTTTACAAGGGTGGGGAATTATCATGCTGTGGACCTCACCTTGTATATTACCTTGACATTCGTCTTATATCTCACGGGAAAAACCACAGCTCAAAATAACCGTGAGAAAGGTAAGTGTGTTACCTATCGTGGTATGTAGCTAACCTATCAATATGTACAATCTTCTTTTTGTGTTTTGGTGATTGCTGGATGCAGAAAACCACGTCGTTAATCTTTTTGACGATTCTGTAAGGTCCTACCCAAGTACTCTGAAGTTTTGGTGTTTTTCCTTTGACTTTGCGAGGGTTAAAGAACCATACTTTTTGGTTTACTGGAAAATGAACATGTCTAGCTGTCTTATCATAAGTTTTCTTTGTTCTTTGAGAAGCAATAGCGATGTTTTGTCGTGCCGAATTGTGTATAGTGTTAAGTGTTGATTTTAACTGTTGTACGTAATCAGTAGTTAACAATTCTTCTCGGTTGGGAGGTGATCCTCGTAATAAATCCAACGGAAGTCGTAGATCGGCACCAGTGTACATTTCAGCTGGTGTAACGCCGGTGGTAGCATGAGTCGAGGATCTGTAAGCCAAAAGATATAAGGCAACCCACCGATCCCAATCTTTTTGATTGACTGCGATGTATTTAGATAAATAGTCTAAAATTGTTTTGTTCTGTCTTTCTACTTGTCCATTTGATTGCGGGTGTAGGGGTGTTGTTCGTGTTTTCTTAATACTTAACAGCTCAGATAACTCTTTTATTAAAATAGCATCAAAATTAGTGCCTTGATCAGTATGGATTTCTAAAGGAACTCCATATCGACATACAATTTCTCGAACAAGCACTTCAGCAATAGTTTTTGTTCGCATATTAGGAAGAGGAAAAGCTTCTACCCATTTCGTAAAACAATCAGTTATAACTAACAGATATTTATTTCCTAAAGAAGAAATTGGAAAACGGCCTAAAATATCCATTTAAAGTCTTTCAAATGGTAATCCTACATTATAAATCTTCATCTGATTATGACCTTTATCAGATGGACCTTTTCTAGCAACACAAGTGGAACAAGACTTACACCAATTTTCAACATCTCTTTTATAAGAAACCCAATAAAATCTTTTACGAATCTTATCTAAGGTTTTATTTACACCAAAATGACTTCCTGACGGAGAATCGTGAGCTTCTTTCAAAACGATATTGGTAAAGTCTTTCGGTACAATCAATTGAAGAATTTTGAACTTCAAATTTGGGCTAATCCATTCTTTATATAAGATATCATCTACAACTAACAACGAATCCCATTGAGACAAGTATAATTTTATAGATTCATCCTCCGAAGAAACATCTTGCCATAAAAGTTTGATGTTATTCTTTTTAAAATTTAAAATGGTCTTAATGACATTGTCCTGATGTTGACGTTTTCGCCAATCAGTTAATGAAGACTCTTCAAAACAAATACGACCTACAGTACAACTGTTATTTAAGAATTTAAATTCTAATTTCGAACAATAAGTACAAGATGAACTGTTACAGGGTCTTCTCGAGAGTCCATCTGCATTACCATGCGAAATACCTTTACGATGTAAAACTTGAAAGTCATATTGATCAAGTTTTCCTATCCATCTTGCTAATTGACCATCTAAGTCCTTAAACGAAAGTAGCCATGTTAAAGCAGAATGATCAGTTCTGATGAAGAAAGGTCGACCGCATAAATAATGATGAAAGTTTTTTACAGAATCTATAACTGCTAGTAATTCGCGACGAGTTACACAATAATTTCTTTCTGCCTTAGACAAGACGCGACTATAATAACCTATAACGACTTCTCTATTATCCTGATTTTGAGAAAGGACAGAACCTAAACCATGATTAGAAGCATCAGTATCCAACAGAAAAGGTGAATTTAACCGAGGAAAAGCTAAGATAGGTGCTCGCGACTCGCTCAACGACAGCAATGCCTCTTGCAGAGCCGAATTAGCGGTCGATGCAACAGCAGGAAGTACAGGGTGCAGTGCAGGAGTATCTGAAGGGCCACTTAAATTCGGAAAAAATAAATTAGTACTTGTATGTTGGGTTATGTCTGTGACATCCGATTGTTGTTCGAAATGTCCTTGTGTATTAGTGGCGATATCAGAGGCAGCAGCTATTGCAGCAGCAACCGAAGCGGCATCAGCAATATTCGTCGTAATTGTATTAGCGCTTGCCGCTGCCTGCGCTCTTGTCCTCGGTGGTGTCCGGTGTGTAGACATAGTTGAGATTCAAACTTAATAGAAGAAACAAATGTCGGATCCCGGCTGAACCCCCAAAATGTTATAACCACTACTAATTAATGAAATAAGATACAACGATATGTAAAAGAAACTAAAACTTGTATTAGAATCGTTGAAAATAGCGTGTGTATATAATATCAGCTCATGAACACACTAACTAACTAATAATAATACAGATTACTTAGCAACCAAACAATCACTTAGTAACCAACAAATTGGAACGTATCGAATATACTACAATATACATAGATGTATACATTGTGATTAATTGTATTAAGCATATGTAAATGATAACGTGTGATCTTAAAACGCACTTTGCATTAACGGAGCGCAAGACGCGAAGACGCCGTTCTAGACGCTTTGACTGTGTAGCTAATATAGACAGTAAGAACTATCAAGAACTAAAAGAAGTCATGACTCAGTTGGTAAAGCTATGGTCTGTCGATCCATAGGACGCGAGTTCTATTTAAAAAAAATGTGTGAAAAATTCATATTTTTTTTAAACTCCATTTTACCCGATAAACAATACCCGATAAGCAAAAATTTTGTGAGCACCATCAGAAGGAACATCTCATAAACTTTTAGAATGTCTCCCTGACAATTTTTTTGATGCCTGAAACATTAGTTATGAGCGCTCAAAGACAAATGTATCATAAGTGACGTTTTCGGGCGAATCGAGTTAGTAGATTTCCCAAAAATATTTTATGTCGTACTAAACAAATTCTAAAAGAAAAATTGAAGAAATGGATAATAGGTAAAAAGTATATAAAACAACTTTTATAAATTTCAATATGATTTTGAATATTGTATTTATGTTACTAGCATGAAATTTCTTTTATCTTTTTTTAAATTAGGTTTATAATATTTTAGCTTTTAAATAAATACTTATGTATAATTCTTACAAATAAGAATGAGTTCCTTCTTTATACGCTTGTAATTAGTATCAATTAATCATATGAATATTGTAAAAAAAATGAAATAAAAAATAAAGTATGGATAATGCATTTTTTTGCCTATGTATATTTTTTTTATGAATAATCAAACAAATTGAAAGTAATATTCTATTAAAACTTTAATTATTACCTGAATTATCATATAAGATATTTTAAACTGTTTCGATAAAATTTAATATTATAAATATATAATTTATCGACATATAAATATAATCTAACTGTTTAGTAGGTTACACAAACAATTTCATGTTACTTAATCATTTATTAAAGAATCATAATTTCTATAGGTGGAAGCTGCCAGACAATGTGCAAACAGTCCTCATGATATTAAAATGCAAAATAATCTTCGACAAGCTGTTGAAGAATTGCGTGAAATAACTACAGCTGCTGCTTCTCCAGCTATTCGGCGTTCCCTAATTTTTAAATTAGAAAAATGTTCTAAATATGCAGCTGCTTCAGCAACTGAATGTATTGCAGCAGCATCTGGAGTGAATAACTTGGGTGAAAATAACGTCAGCCTAGCAGAACTGAATGCAGAATGTCGGTCAATAGTAAAATGTATCCCGAATTTGGTATCGGGGATAAAGGGAACTGTATCTCATCCCGACAATCCTATAATGCAACTCAATCTTATAAATGCTGCTGAACAGTTCTTACAACCTGGTACTGCTGTCGTAAAGGCAGCCAAATCCGTATTACCTACTATTACTGATCAAGCAATATCAATACAGTTAAATAGTTGCTCACAACAACTTGGCATCGCTTTAACAGATTTAAGATCTTCGGTGAATCGGGCAAAAGAAGCTTGTAACGGATTAGAACTAGATGTGGCTGAAGAAAGAATAACATCTTTTAAAGGTGACCTTGCTGATTTAATAGAGTCACTGAATCAATCAAATCTAAAACCATTGCCAGGAGAAACTACAGATTTAACGGTTTCAAGGCTTGGTTCTATAATTAAAGTAGTTGAATTTACGGTTATGCAATTAGCGTCAGCTGCTAAACAAGGTAATGAAACATATAGCGGTAGTGCTGCAAGAGAAGTAGCTAATTCTGTGAAAGACTTAATGGAAGCAGTTAGAGGAGTTGCAGCTACAATCGAGAAAGAAAATTTACAGAATAACATATTTAAATCAACTAAAGATGTCGTAGAAAAATGCATATGCTTACTTCAAGAAGTACGGCGAGTTTTGAAAAATTCAAATGATAATAACGACAATGAAGATTTAATGACTATCGCCAAAAATATCTCTTATTCTTTAAGTGATTGTGTTTCTTGTTTACCTTGTCAAACAGATATTGATGAAGCTATGCGGTTGATAAATTTTGCTAGTCAAAAGCTAAATACAGAAGAATTTATACCGTCGAACCAAAATTATAGGTACGTATTATTCAATCAATCTATATATAATCATTTTCAAAGCACTTAATTAGACCGGGAAAAAGTTCTTTTATAGTATTGATCGTCAGAAAAAATTTTCTAATTGATATGACATTTTTTCAAAATTTTAGGCAATAGGCATACTTTAAATTATTATTAATTAAATGATCGAAATATAAAAAATGTTGGAAATCAAATAAAAATTAAAATTGGCGCTACAAATTCATCCTATTGTTATATGTCGGACCGTCGAACGTCAAGAAAAGAAGATCAGAAGGTTGCCAAGCAGTTGTTGTTGTCGTAAAGTTAGTTAGTTGTCGGGTAGCCTTAAATCGTGTCGCTAGGGTTATGTAGTAAATAAAGTTACATCCTTTTTTTATAATTATTTCGTGTTATTTCTTATACGGGAGTTGGTGATCGTTACACTATGTAATGGTGCATATGTCGGTAAGGCGTACATGACTTATATATTGTATCGATGCAAATGAGCATGTATAAGATGATGAGTACCAAAATAAAATGAAATCACAAATCAATCGTTAATTGATAGTATTGACCGTATTGTATATATTGACCGATAAATGCTTGCTAACTAGGAAACCTTCTTAGGTGTCATTCATCAAAGCGTACCAAACTTTGTAGAATAATAAAACATCAAAAAATATTTGACGCGTATCTTTTTATTTCGACAGAGTTACATATTTAGGAATTAAAACTACCCCTATTGTGTATTTTACTACCTTTTAAATATTGTAACGGAGAATCTCGGCTAGGCCGATTGCGTCCGTTTAGCTCTTGCAGATGTCCGCGCGCCGCGCCGAGCTGAGAGTGTGTGCGTGTGGCACGCACACGCATGCTTGGATTTTTGTTTTTGGGGTGCTATATACGAGCTGAGCTGACGGCTGGAGCTATCGAGATGGCGCGGAAGAAGAAGAGAGAGAGAGAGAGAGCGAGAGAGAGCGCTCTAGTTGCGGATCATCGCGGAAAATTTAAAGAGAGAGTATCTGCTAGGCTTTGGGCAGAGAAAGTCGCGCGCGCAGATGAAACCGAAGCTAACGGTTTTTCGGAGTTGGCCCCGTTACCTCGTCAACGTTTTCGTTTTCCGGAGACACGCCCGGTGCGCGGACGAGAATTAGAGTGTGTGGCTGGGTCGCCGTGTCCCAAAGGATACTTGGTACCGGTGCGTGTGGGTAACCGGCGAAGTGCGCGGGTGCGCGCGTGAGCGAACTTTACCGCTGCTGCAGTGCCAAGCAACCGAAGGACAGCGGAAGCAACAACAGCAATCAACGAGCGAACAACGGATTGAGGCAGCAATATTGGTAGAGCGAAGGAGAAGACGAGCTAGAGGACAATAAACACCAGCGAGGCGGTCAGCGAGAAGGAGCGCACCAATGATGTCACACTGCAAAGCGTTCTAGCCGTCAGAGGGGCTGAAGATCGAGGTCGGTGCCGTGTTTTCTCTTGTTTCTCTCTCTTCCATATTTAAGCGCCAGCTGATAGGTGGTAGCGCGGCAGATCTTCTGGCTACTCCGTTGATGAAATAACGGCGGAAAGTGTTTGTCGGGTATTTGTTGTAATAACTAGTTTTAAACAGGGAATCGACAGGCTTATCAACCACCGATTCACCTTCGCGTTCGCGTTTATTATTGTGCTGTTCGTAGTATATAGGCGTGAGATCGCCGTCTTGTAGTCGATTATTGACGATTAAAGGATTAATGTGTTAATCCGCTGTTGTGTTTATTCGCCGCTGTATCACTCCTCATCCCGACTTCGAATCTGTGCATTTAACGTGGTTTTGATCGACGCGTTATTCAGTCGTGGGAACGTCTTTTGCTTCCCAAATCCTTAAATAAATAATTTATACGGATGGATGCGAGCTACTCAGACGGGAACGGTCGCATATTCTCCGTTACAATATATACAATTTTTAGTTTGATGAATTACCTAAAAATTTGCACTTGGAGGTTTTTGGGTTCATTAATTACGTATCTTAAGTTGGAATTTCGAAATTTTAGAATTCAAGATAGATTCAAAGTGGTAATAGACCCAAAATGGTGTATTCGAATTTGCATAAAAAATGTCCATGGCCTTGAAAATTTAGGCTTAGAGATTGTTAGAAACGTTGATTACAAATCTGAAGGTGAATTATCAAAATTTTATATCCAAATATGCAGAAAATAATTTGACTACATCATATGTAATGAAACAAAACTGACATCTCCAAGTTATCTATGTATAGAAAGTAGAATGTAGAAGCGAATTAAATTATTTAATTAAAGCGAAATTGATTTATATGTATGCGATTATATATGAGATAGGGCAATAAGATTCTTTAAACCAAACTTGATTAAATTAATAAAATATAAATTTTATCAACATTTGTTTCAAAATTACGGTATGAATTTTTTCAATTCTAAAGTGAATGATTTATTAATTATTTTTATATTTATTAGAGTTGAAATAGGGTATGGAATATTTTTAAAAAAGCAAATACGAATACTTTTGATTATAATCAAGAAACTTTACTATTCTATTCATTTCGGCAATTTTGCGGAATTAATCAATTGAAAAATGTCGTATACCTAAAATAACTGAATCCATTTTTATCCTTGGTGTTAAAACAATTAAAAGTTGAACAAATACATCAATAATATAATTTAAGTAATAGAAAACAATGAATTTTTCAATATAAAGATCTGATTCATTTTATTTTTGAAAAAAGATGATTTTATAAAATAAGCATTTCAAAAGTTGGACTTTAGTTGTTTAGATGTTTAGTTCAAGAATATAAAAAAATCCTAGAGTTTTATATTACTTGTATTTTTATGACCGCGAAGAACGCCTTGCTTAATTTTGAAAATTGGACATGTAATTCTTATTAAGCTATCTCAAAAACTATTATAGATATATACCAAGACAATTTTGATCATTATTATTCGGTTAACTTTAATCTTTAAGGTATGTCACAGGTATATTGAATCCGCTATTTTTCATTTTTCAAACTAAACCTCAGAATATAAAGACGCCAACTACCAACAATTTAAAGCCTTAATAAATTAAGTAGAACGTTAAAAAAATTTTTTTGCGAGCTTTCATAACTGGAATTTTCATTTTGCGTTGTTTTGTGACTACCATATCGAGCCATCATATTAACATTTTCGAAAAGACTATGTGGGTTCATGAAGAAGGATTGATAAGGAACAATTTAAGCCGTTGATGGCCCAAATTCATCCATGTGAATTTTGAACAGAGCTTAGTTTCGTTTGATAAAGAACTTCCCATATATCTTCACAAATAAAAATTAAAAGACATTATATCAGGTGAGAGGGATGATCGGGTGATTGATCGTCCACGATCATTTCATCTCTAAAGATATTCTTCATTAAAAAAATTTCATACTATAGGTCCAAAATGTGAAAACACTCCATCCAGTTATATTCGTAATCTTTGCCTTGTTTCTAGATCAATATCTTCTAATAGCACAGACAAATCATCGCGATGAAATTCTAAAAATATTGAGCAGTGACGTTCTGCACAAATAAGTATCACCCAACTAAGTAGCCAATCACAATTGCATACCATACATTAAGATTTCAACGATGTTGATCAATTAGACGTTACCAATATGGATTTCTTCTGAACATTTTGCCTGTTATGCCTATTCAAGTTCTCATCACTCTTGAATGCAGTTTCATTAAAAAAAAGTAAAAATCGTAAAAAATGATATGAAAATGATCAATTGTTGCAGACAGCTCTTCCGCATTAATTCACCTCTGCTTGTTCTTTTTCTTTTCGAGCTAAACACGGCGATTCAGAATTCTGTTCGTAATTAAAGTAAGTCAAACTGGAACAGGTGGCATCATGGATAACGGTATTTTAGGCGAACATGCACTCACTGATGTACTCATTCTAAAAAGTGTGCTTTGATTCTATGAACGCTATGATCATAATCTTGATTGTGCAATTGGCTTTCTCGGTGGGAGTAGACTTGAAGAAATATGGAGCACAAGTTTCTTGATAAACTTCGTGAGTCTCACGGAAATTGTCCAACATCTTGTCTTTGAAAGGCGTGAAATTATCTGTCAGATCTTCCAGATCTTAAGAAAGTCCGTTTGTTGAATTCTCGCTGGATTGTTTGAACATTGATTTTTCGAGTGAGAAAATACTCAATTCATCTCATAAAACCATTGATAAAAATCAACAGATACTCATAATCTCATAACAACTTAGGAAAAGAGACCCATAGTATTGCCACAAACCATCTCCCATACACAGATACCTATATGTCTACTCAAGTCTCACTAGAAACAACTACTCAAGTTGAATTTGTTGGTAAATTTGACATATGAGTACAAAGTGCGCGACATCTTTATAAGTATTAGGCCAATAATATCATAGGATTGTTTTTTGGTAGGTATTGTACCTACCCTAGTAGCCTACCGTGAACCCCTTATATCATTGTGCGAAAACCTCCTCGCTCTGATTTCTAGGTACCACGAGCTTCCTAGTGTCGTTATCTTGGTTCATTAGGTCATCCATGGTAGGGTCTGGCAGGTAAATATATAGGCGACCACTGACGATTTCAGTGTATACTCTAAGGTTCTCGGTAACTTGACACTTTCTTTAAATACCAAGGATCGCTTAGACTCTTGATTATGTTAAGTAAGGTTAAAGAAGTATTCTCATCATACTCGGTCTCATATATATATATATACACATGTAGCTTAATATTGTGTTTACGAATAATGTCAAAGTCGTACGACTGTAATCGTAAGGACCATCATCCTAGCTTGTTATTACGATTTTGCATGTTTCGAAGACACTAGACTGTTGTGATATATCGCTACGATGAAGTGATAACCTTTGACGTATGACCGAAATATTTCGATCCATCGTATCACACTCAAGCATTCGCGCTCAATAACTAATAGCTTTCATTAAGTAATAATTCGATCATTAAAATACGATTAGCGTAGCGAAGTACATGATCCTCACTGACT